CCAGGCTCCCGAGGTTGGTATGTATTCACCTCTGCTCAATACGCTGGCTGCCCCTCCTCTTTCTTCCTACCAATTTGAAAAAGCTCCTCCGGCGTTTGTGGGTTCCCGCTTGGTTTTCATCGTCATGGATTGGGCTGCGTTTGACGGGTTGCGCTGCCACCTCGATTAACCCTCAATCGCGACCCTCGCATGGCTGCCTCAATTTTTACTCTTTGCATTCTAGCACGTTCTGTGATACTGCTCACAAATGTTGGCGGTTTCCTTGCGCACAACTAGCCGCTAACTCGATCATTTCTAGACTACACCCTCAACAACCCCGACACCCTTACCAAGTACAAGACCGCTGCTCAGATCTCCCAGAAGGTCTTGGAAGCCGTTTCAGGTGTGTCGTTTACCTCTTACGCGGGTTGTCGCATAGTTCCTTCGGGGTGGTGCTAACCACCATTCATAGGATGGTGTGTTGAGGGAAGCAAGATTGTCGAGCTCTGCCAGAAGGGTGACCAGCTCCTCGAGGAGGAGATTGCCAAGGTCTACAAAGGCAAGAAGATCGCCAAGGGTATGTTGCCTCTTCAAGTGAATTATCTAGAGCATGATGGTTGACGCGACCTCGTCGCAAAAGGTATCTCTCACCCCACCACTGTCTCCCCCAACTCCTATGTGACTCCCTACACTCCTTTAGTGTCCGATGCCGCCGAGGCCGAGACTACCCTGAAGGCCGGTGAGGTTGTTAAGATTCAGCTGGGTGCTCAGATCGATGGCTTTGGAACCATTGTTTGCGACATGGTCATTGTTGCCGACAGCAACTCCTCTTCTGATGAGGTGACTGGCCGCGAGGCTGACCTTATTCACGCTACCCACTACGCCAACGAGCTTCTCCTGAGACTGTTGGTTCCTGCCGGTCTTCTGGCCAGCGGTACTGAGGAGGAGAAGCAGAAGGCCGCCGCCCAGAAGCCCTACACTCAGGCCCAGATCACCCAGCTCATCGAGAAGGTTGCCAAGGTCTACGACTGCAACGTCGTGGAGAACACCACCAGCTGGCTGTTCAAGCGCAACGAGATCGAGGGTGAGAAGAAGATCATCCTCTCCCCCGGCACTGGTGTCAAGGGTGAGGGTCTTCCCGACGTCGGCGAGGTCTGGGGTATCGAACTCGGCCTGTCCCTTGGATCCGGAAAGGTCAAGACTCTTCCCCACCGTGCTACCCTGCACCGCCGTACCACCACCACCTATGGTCTCAAGCGCCCTAGCTCCAGACAGACCCTGTCTGAGGTCGTCAAGAAGTTCGGCACCTTCCCCTTCAGCTTGCGTCAGCTGGATGACGAGAAGGCCGCCAAGGTTGGTGTCGTCGAGTGTGTCCGTGGTGGTGTCCTGAGACAGTACGAGCCCGCCGGTGATGCTGACAACGCTGCCGTGTCCCGTGTGCTGTCTACCATTGGTATGAATCCTCCCTCTCCACTCTCTAACAGCAATTGGTGGCGATTTGAGTAATTGCAATTCAATTCTGAAACTAACCCTCAATGCAGCCATCACCAAGAACGGTATCACCCGTCTTGCTGCTCCCACCACTCCCGATCTTACCAAGTTCAAGACCGACAAGAAGATTGAGGACGCGGAGATCCTCGAGATCCTTGAGCGCCCCTTGGCCAAGTCTACTGGCTCCAAGAAGAACAAGAACAAGAAGAAGAAGGCCGCCAAGACGGAGGACTCCAAGGATGAGGAGTAAATGCATCATTGCATCAGGCCTCACTTGACGCAGTTCCGGGAACCGTGTTTTGGCTCACATAAACGCATATGACAACTGTTCGGGGGAAGTTTTGGTGGCTCCAAAGCCCTGGCAATGTCCGCCATGATGGTGCTTTGTTTTGAAAGTCGGAGCCCGTTGGGCCTTCTCCGAGACCGGAGGGTTGTTTTCGCAATGCTGAACGCCAGAGACAAGTCTGGTGGGAGGGCCACCTCTCCCTCGCAGTTCCCTGTTGAAAACATGCTGTCACATAAATTAGTTCAAAAAGAGGAAGAGTTGTATATGTCCAGTGGAAACCAAGCCAGATACAGTTCACCAATGAATATTATGATAGCTGGTGCCAGCCAGTTCTTGCCAAGTTCCTTGACTCTGGGCTTATTTGTTCTAATCTTAGTTGTGGCCTAGACGAGTGTCCTGCCATTCCAGGTATGTGGTTTGAAATCTATGATGTGGATCTATAAGACTCGAAAGCAGTAGTTACATCATGTCATCTCTAGGTGGGTTAGGATGGTGCCGAGCACGCACATTTGATTGACCCTTTATCCTTCTCTCTTTTCATGACCTATGGTCACAATCTATTTGGCTGGACTGCATCGAGCTGCATCTTGCCTCTCCCCATCTCGACAAGGACCTGCGAATTACACTTGAGAGGTTCGGAGGTTCGCTGTTTCAGTCCATGATCGCCTTCACCACCTTGGGCAAGACGTCCGGAAGCGCTCATGTTGAGCAACCAGCAAATCCTAACTCGGCTTGATAGTGCTGGGACCGTCAGGGAGGCAGAGAGTATCGGAGGGGAAATCCTACGGTTTAGTGGCAGTGGGGGTTGATTCATGTGGTGTCTGGATGGGTTTTGATCTGCCTGCCCGCCGATGGCAAGGCAGGAAGGTCCCAAGATCATACAGGCACAAACTCGCTGGTTCCAAGCGACTCGTAGCATTTCAGAAACAACACAGACAGGTTTGAGTAGGCGTGTTATCGAGTTGTACCTCGTTTTGAATAGACAGGAGCCAAAGGGGATAAGAACAGGAGGAGGCAGTGAGCAGTGGGCCAGACTGAAAGAATTCCCGAACCATTCCGTCTCGTCTTCCACCTTTCCTTCTCAAACACCCAATCCCTCCTATTGAACATTCGGGCTCGGCCACCAAAGTTAAGGTGTTGCAAGGCAGCGATTCAGTGTGGTGTTTGCTGCCTCTGCTGGTCGAATACTGAGTGAGTGAGTGAAGAAGCTCCCCCTCACCCCCTTCACTTGGCCCACCCACCCAACAACCACATCCTCCTTCCCCGAAGTCCCGAGAGCATCGAGGCATCTCGTCCTTAACACCAACCTCCCTGACTTACCGACTGTAACACTGTTATCTCTTTCTCTGCCTACCCAGAGACAGATTTCCTCTACTTCTTCCTTCCTCGGTCACCTTCGCACTTCCTATCGTCTTCTTCTTCCCCTCCACCACAAAGAACCTCCATACGCGTTGCTCAACAGAGCCAAGCTCTCTCTTCGCCTTCGTTTCTCATCTCCTTCAAGATCAGAAGCTTTTACTGTCTTCTCTTAGACGTTGAACCTATTTGAACACTTCAGCATAGCGGCTTCTTGTTTATCAGTTTCCGGAGCTGCTACATCTCTCAACGTGTCTAGCGTTGTTGCCACTGAACGATTCTCGCTACATCACACTTTCTACTTGGCTGTGTTCCCATCTATCTAGCCCCCTCTTCCTCTGTCTCTTGAACCAGTCTACTTGATATCAAGACCTTCCAAGATCCTGCAGATCTTCTATCCACTGGAGGACGTCTGGTGCGTTGCGTACAGACGCCCTCACCTTGTGAGTTTGTCGTCTTGAGATCATTGACATCTCCACCTTTCTCCTCGTTCGATTCCCTCGCCTTTCGACAAAGTCGTGCTTACGAGAGTGCTTTCGTATTGAACGCGTAGCCTCGTTTCTCTTGCTGTGACCAGAGCATCGTGGGTTTTGTCCTCGAACGTGCTGTGTTGTAATCACTTCTATCATCATTCTACACACGACATCGTCACATTTTCACTCTTTCTTTCAGCTTGCACCAACAGAATTCCTTCATCTCAGTGCGAGTCGAAGACATCTCTCCTTCAGGCCTCAAATCTGTTGTCAACTTGTTTTCCATCCTTGCGCACTTGCTTCCAGACTGCCTTCCTACCACTCTCCGTCCCTTCCATCGCTTCCAATTCTCTCTCGGCATCTGAAATAGTGCACTTCTGTATCAGGATACCTGCTGGTCTGCTCTTTTCTTGTCAGCTTCCCGAGGTTTCGATATTCGTCTCTATCTCCTCAAGTTCCGCTGCCTGATCGTGACTCGACCAGGAGGCTTGTTCCGCGCCTGCAGTGACAGGTAGCTCGAACGCGATAGTTCTTTGTGCCCTACTTTCCATTGGTAAGTGAGCCTTCGGTGCCACAAAATACGTCTTTCCATTGCCTTTTTGAGCTATCTCCATTCGTCATCACGCTGGATGGAACAGACATCTACCCGGGCATTCTACTTGAGATGCACCTCTGCTTCGACCCAGATAAAATGCTGATAGCCAAAAGCAACCGGCTCTAAGTCAAATCTGGAGGACTCCATTCTGGGCCAATTGTGTTGGTTGGGCATCGGTGTTGGCGATGCAACTTTGGGGACCAAACTGTGGCTGACCAGATCATAGGCTCACTACTCCTCTGAGAAACTTTCAGTCAAGTGCCACGAGACCTTCATATTTATCCTTCAATTCTACGCTGGCATAATATTTAGCAGCGCGACAGAACCCAGTCTACACTTATCCAGGTGCACGGGAACCCTCGAAGCCTGTGCCCTACACGGCTATTCTGCGCGCCTGTGCAAGGATCGGTAGCTGAGCAGCCATCTAGAAACAGTATCCATCGTTGACGGTAAAATTTCCCTGAACAAAAATTACTATTTAGACATTCCAATGCTGAAACTGTCCTTTTCGTAGGGCAGACGTGCCGACTTTGGTGTTTGTGGCAGCTTCCGCAACAACCCCCTTAGGAGTCTGCTTGGGATTCCTCGAAAACTTCCGGGCGAACTCCCGCGGTTCTTCTTCCTTTCTTCAACCCGTAGACAGCGCGCGGGCTGGCCTCGATTCCAACCAGCCACGCTGGGCACGCTCGGTGTTCGCTCGGAGTCCTTTACCTCAGTACGTATTATTTGACAATATTCTCAGGCTAATTAATGTCTACTGTTTGTTCTTCGCTAACCCAGCGCCTGCAGCCGTTGTACCTCCCGAGCCCTGTCTACAGCAATGGCTCCGACCCTCCGCTCCTCCTCCTCCCGTCTTCACTCCCGACCTAACACACCACCTGATGCGCCCATGATGGCAAGCACAACTAATTCGGTCACCGAAGCCACGAGGCCCATAAAGCAACGGCGCACGGGCATAGATTCGCGCGAGGCTACCGCTCCGCTACAGAACGCGACGGAGTCGCAGGACAATGGAAGCAAAGACTGGGCCGAGCCTCCTGCAAGAGCGCCGGCCCCTAGCTATGCGGATAGCCCATGGTCTAATCACTGTGATAGTCGGAACCCAGTTTTGAACACGATGCGCCCTTTAGGAACTCGACCTTCTCCGGCGGACTTGCGGAAGGTCGGCTTGATTCCCAAGACAATTCCACCCATAATCCCTGCCAAAAGAAGGTCTGGAGTCGAGTCAAATGAGCCAGCGCCACAGAAGGCCAACTCACTCTATGACATTTCCGCGTTTGCGGCGCTTCCCATTCCCACCTCCGCGGACTGCAACGGGGAGAAAATCAGAGTGGCCGTCAATGAGGCTTTACGCATGGCGACAGAGACCGACAACATTCCGGTAAGCCGCGGGCTCCTCCGCCTGTGGGAATCCTGTGCCAATGATCCCTTTTCATTATCTGTGTTGGAGGGTGTATGCCAAGGAAATCCTGGCTCGCGGGAGAAGTCAGCATTTCAGAGCATCATGCGGGCCGCCTGGAACGAGGTAAAGGCAGAAGAAGCTCGCGCACAGGCAGACGAGGACAAAGAGGAAACAGAGGTTGACTCAATGCCAACTGTGCCTCGCGCTCGATCGGCTAGTAGCGTTTCGTCATTGTCCTCATTAAATACATTTGAGGACGTTGATGCCGGGGAGGTCTCAGCACAACTCCCAGGGTCAGCCCCTGGAATCAAGATTCCCCGCGCAAAGGCCAAACACACCCGTTCCGCCGGACTCAACAAAGGTGCAGCAGACCTCACAGCTCGCCATTCTATGCCACCAACAATGGTCAGCTTTCAACTGAAGCATGCTTTAGAAGAGGACGAGACGCGGTTTGAAGAATTAGACAGAATAGACAGGGTGAAGCGAATCAAGCTTCGGACACCACTGCCAACCATCGTCCCTGCTGAGAGTCAAGTCCGACCCTTACACCCTACTGATATCCCAGCCCCAGTTCGCTCACCTACTCCACCTTTCGCCTATCCCTCCGCACCAACGCATCCTCCAGCTCAGCCAGTTGCGTCCGCCCCCTCAGCTGAATTTGTACCATCAGCCCCTCTCACATCCTCCTCTGGAGAGACTACAGAAAACCTTCCCGACAGTCGAGCCAGCAGTGAAGCTGGTGACAATCGTCGACTCACGCCTACCATGGTGTAAGCAGCACAATCCCTGCCTCACTCTTCCTTCTTGATTACTGCTGGTCCCTATAGGCTAACATGCATGGTAGTGATGATAGCGATGCTGAAGACGAGAGACCGGACAACGACGAAATCTGCCACGAATGCAACAACAGCGGCAATCTCCTATGCTGCGATGGCTGTACTAATTCTTACCATTTCTCGTGCTTGAAACCCCCACTAGACCCAAACAATCCTCCGGAGGGAGACTGGTATTGCCCCAAGTGTGCCATGCGACGGGCCTTCCGTTCTTTGACTAGCAAGTTTGATCAGCGCTTTGGCAAAAAGGATGTCAAGGACTTTCAACTTCCAGCCCGTATTCGGGATCATTTCGCCGGTGTTAGGGTGAACAAGAAAGACGGTCAATCCTACGAGGCCATAGTTCCAATGCCGAAGCCCAAAGGTCGACGTGGTTACCGTAATGGTACTTACGACGATCCTCATTTGCACAGGACAGTGGACGCTCTAGGTGCTCCCATCTTCTGTTTCAAGTGCGCAGGAAGTGCCGCTAGCGGTCGGCCTATCATCCAGTGCGATATCTGTCCACTCTCCTGGCATCTGGACTGTCTCGATCCGCCTATGGCCGCGCCCCCCGCCCAGGTCCCAGGAAGTGATCTCGCGCACCACAACTGGATTTGTCCTAATCACGCCTGGCATGATTACGTTTACGCCTCCAAGGACGAAGAAGGATACGATGTCTACAAGCGTATTCGCCGGCCAAAGCACCCTCGGATGGTCGATATAGACGTTCTCCTCTCCGATGACGAGATCACCCAGATGGAAGATCAGGAAGAAGGCAGCGTCAGATACCGCGTATCAGAGCATGGAATCAAACACACCTTTATTAGCCAGGTCAAAAGGCCAGTAGCCCCCCTGAATTGTGATTCGACTCCCAATATTAACTCTTCCGACAGAGAAAACGCGGAGTATCAACTACTGAAAGCAAATGCGAACAAGTTCCTTGATCATGCAACCGCCGAGTACGACAAGATCATCTCGCACGCCCGCGCTGCCTTGCCCCCACAGACACCCCTGATGACCGATGAGGATGCAAGCACTACAATCTCGAATTCCCGCACCACTGCTGAGCGCCAAGCTGCAGCCAACCTCCTTGCATTCGCTCAACGGGAGCACATCACCCCTCCAGATGCCAACGATAGAATGAGCTTGCTGATTGACCAACTTCGTGCCAACGCACCAGAGATCCGTCCCACAGCCGACACTGAGATAGCTTCCCTACAAGCCTTGAAGGATCTCATCGACCGGCGCATCCGGGATTTGTCAACCCAACCACAATAGTCCTAGCCGACTAAATCCCGGATGCGCCGGTCGATTCTCGGGCCCCGGCCCCGGCCCCAGGAACATCCTCTCTCCAGAGGGTGCAAGCGGTGCTCGAGAGACAGCTATTTGTTTTATTTTTACTGTGGCACACAAGCCACGCATATATTATTATGACGACGATTTGATACGATAATTTGTCTATTTGCTGTGATATTATTTTTAAGAGGTAAGTTGCCACCTTGCAGATGACCCGTTCTGTGGCTACAAGAAGAGAGAGCGTTCATTAACGATCCCTATCAGGCTGCTGCTGCTGCTGCATGTAGGACCACACAGTGTTCCAACCATTTGAAAGATTCAGAAAACATACCATTTGGCGCAATATCATTATTTCCGCATCGGCTAGCTTGAGGGACTTTTGTTTTTGACGACGGTTTTGTTTTCTTTATCCTTTATCCTTCTTGTTCCTGTTGTTGTTCATGGACGTTCGGCGTTACCAGCTCTCTCTTATACATGGCGGTTCTATTCCATCATTGTTAGAAAGGTTCACCTTTCCTATTTTTCTAGGGAGCATGCCTGGCTTTTTTGTTCTTTCTGTAATTCGTCGGAAAAGAAACCTGCTGCAGATGAACAGGGCAGACCAGAGAGGACCGACTCCTCCTGTTTGAATCTGCTCTTGGAGGTAGCCTATCTCCTCATGTACTTGTTTTGTTTTGCACTTTCTTTTGTGTGTCCATGTGTTTTACAGTTTTTTCCTACCGTCGCCGGTTGCATCTCAACGCATGGACCATGTTTCTCATTAGCAGTTTGCATGAGGGAAGACGGACAGGTTATCGAGCTCTGAATTCATTCTCCTCCTTGCATCATTTGTTCCTTTTGCCGCTGTTGTAGGAACTCTGCAGTGTCGACTGCATCGCGTCCGATTCCCCTTCGTACAGTTACAGTTATCAGCATTGCGATGGGGTCCTAGATCTCTTTCCTTTCGCTTTGTTTTGCATTGTATGCATTATAAGGGAAATGGTGGTGTCTGGCATATAACCCGGATGTAGACGAACTCTGGGACCGAAGTTACTAGGAAGACATACTTTACTAAGAGACGCTTAACATGATAGTCCAAGGGGAGTTCCTTCAGAAGTATCTTTGAGGTCTATTGCGGTTCGATCACATGCATTTCCAGCGCGATCTCACTCATTGTTCCAGATAAGCAGCGAAAAGCATTACGTTACAGTCCGACGTGATGCAACGCATGCAGATAAGTAGGGATACAGTACACTATGGATTGCATCATGGTGAAAATCACAGATACTAAATTCTATGACCAAAGCAGGGCTGACACGCTCAGATAATTTAACAGATTCCTTTCCAGGAACTTTGAAATGAATGGTGCTTGTGTGGTATACAAAGTTTATTTATTTCTTTTGTCAGGTGGATTCTCTGTGGGGGACGTTCGCTATGGCAAGACTTTCTTGGATGGGTGGGAGCGGGTTGCTCTGATTGCTGCCGATGTGTTGCAGGAGGGTGAGCCGGCTCGGATAGGGTAGAAGGATGAGCCGTGGCGAAGTTGTGGGTCCAGGAAATGCAGGCTCAAGCGGAATTTGCACAAGCTGTGTCATAGGTCCACTGTGAACGAGTACGTTCAAAGGAACTTCTTGGGCATGTTGTTGCGGCGGCGTTTGTAGAGGATATAAGCACCGGCAAGGAGACCCTGGAAGGCGATGATACAGAAGATGAAGAATCCCATGCGGGGCGCGGAAGAAGTGATGCCTGGATATAGTCATTAGTATCAAAGGATGTCGGACAAATGGCGGTGAATTGATCTTCTGGTACAGAGGGGAAGCGTGCGTACCGTTCAGGACTTCCTGGGTCAAGCTCAAGTGCGATGACCGCAAGGTCTCCTGCAACTGTGAGAACCGGCCGTGGTAGTCCTTGCCTGCCAGATCCCGTTGGATGGCCTGCAGGATGTCTTCCATCTTCTGGAGTCTGGCTTCAAGGCTGGCCACTTGGTCCTTTGTGGCCGACTTCTGGAGCAATTCCACATGACGGTTTTCGCTCTTGGTTCCCTGGTTGCCGATCTCGCGTACGATGTTGTTTGTAGCATGGTTGATCAGTTGAATGCGACCAGTTAGGTCGACAAACTGCTCAGTCACCGAGCGAGCGTCCCCGGAGCGAGCTTCCTGCTGCCGTTGCTGGGTACCTTGGTCCTGGGCAGCAATCGGTTGCTGGTTCTGGTCGACATTCTGCTGCTGAACAGGGATGTTGCTGCCAGCTCCGGACTCGGCGGACTTGACGACAAACTTGAAGACTTCGAAAGAGTCGGGATTCTCGGGGGTTGCAGCGGTGACACCGAAGTAATTGCCAGCTGGAAGAGTGACCTAAAAGAGGTCAGTCACATGATCATGGTCCGAGATGCAGAGCAGTGGTACCTTATCAGTCGAAAAGCACAGCTTGTCGTCGACAGTAACCTCCAGAACCGCGTTGGTGTGTTTGATGCGGATACTGGAAGGGCGCCCAAGATTCCGGTAAGGATAGTCACAGTGCCCAAAGGCCAGGCTGTCCACGCTCCTGTGGCTCTTGTAGTCCGTCGAACCATCGTTGAGAAATCCTCTTACACTGCCTCCCTGTGTGACAAGTTAGCCATACGCATTTCCATACACACAGGCCAGACACATACTCTTCCACCATGGCTGTCAATGACGAGGGCAAACCCGTCGAATTGGTTGACAGTGTAGATACTGGAAGTCCCGATTTTGTCCTTCCCATCTTTCGCATACCACACCTGGAGGTTACCACCTCCTCGCTCAGGCCCCGTCGCTCGGAACTCGAACTCCGCAGTCCATTCTGACTGAGTTATACTGGGAAATATAAGGACACATTCAAGCTGTTATCGCCTCGTTGAAAACTTACGGAGACTCAGCCCACGCATATCCCCTCGTGTTTCCAGGGTAAGGAGGTGTGAGAATGACTTTGTTAGACAGCTAGAACTCAGTCAGTGCTTAAGAAAGCCAAAGATTGTCGCAGTTGGCATGGGAATCGGTTCATACAATATCAGGGGTATGCGCTTCGCCCTTCACTTCCCAACCCGGAATGAAACCTGAACTCGGTGTGCGTGATAGCCTACAGCGAGGTCAGCGTAAAGTTGAGGAGCAGGGGGCGGTCACAGAGTAAGGAAGGTGAGTTGTACGCAGGGCCATAACCGAAGCTGGAGCTCTCAATCACAGATTGAGCAGTCGCGACGGCGAGGAAAGAGAAGAAAGAAGCGGGGGTCTTCATGACGTCGGTTAAATCGGAGATTCGTCGAGGTTTAGTGACGCTGTCGCTAAAGACCGGAACAAGTAAAGCAGGGGATCAAAAGAAAATAGTCGAGAACAAGGCACAGGTAGTAATTAAGAAAGAAGGGTCCCAAGCAAGACACCTCAGATTGGAAAGAAGCAAATAGAGCTGGAGCTAGGTCGGACGTATCAGTGGGAAGGAAGATCGTCACTCAGAAGAAGCTCTGCGGTTTAACAACGCGGAGACAATGCGCGAAGTGGTCCACCCAACCACAATGGCGATCACGCAAACACGAAGTTCCTTGGCGATTGAAGCAGCAGCAGGAGAGATGTCAAGAAAGTGACGGATTTCGACTGAGGAGAGGACGTGAGAATGGCGGACTCCAAAGTCCGAAGCGGTGGCCAAGTCCATAATCTGAATATTAGGGACTAAACAAGCAATTGAGGGGAGGGGGGGAGAAACAACAATTAAGGGACAAACTGGCCTTTCATCGAGTCTCCGTCCCTGACCGCCGTCATCACGTGTCAATTCCCCCGGATTGGCATGCAACTAACTGGACTAACGGTACCATGGACCTTTGCATTTCCACAGATCTTCGCGTTCTTCAGCATTAATTTCGCTCCTTTGCTTTCATTTTCTTTCTTTTTTTTCCCTTTCTCACTGCTTCTCAGAGCGCGTCATGCGCAGTATCTCCAATGACTGAGCTCTACCCTTCATTGGCCCAGTGCGCCATCGTCGCGACAGCCTTCAAGATTCTTCTTTTCCCCGCATAGTACGTGGCCGCAAGAATTCCCCGATGGTCCTCTTCGACTGACGCTGACCACTGGCTCCCATTACAGCAAATCCACGGACTTTGAAGTGCATCGGAACTGGCTTGCGATCACACATTCGTTGCCCGTTCAAGAATGGTACTACGAGGTACGATGACAACACCACCATGGGAGACCGAGGAGACCGAGGAGACCGAGCGATCAAGCTAATTGCAGTCAATGGCGGCTAGAAAACGTCGGAATGGACTCTCGATTACCCTCCCTTCTTCGCGGCCTTCGAATGGCTTCTTTCACAAGCAGCTCCCTATGTGGACCCTGCAATGCTGGTGGTCAAGAATCTCAACCATGATTCGTGGCAGACGGTATATTACCAGAGAGCTACAGTGATTGTCACAGAACTTGTCCTTTTGTTTGCGCTCAGCAGGTATAGATCCTCTCGCATATCATGTCTTGTGTCGTGGGTTTCCAGCTGACCATTCCTACTCGTCCTTCAGATTTGTCAAGTCCGTGCCGGAGCGGAACAGACATCTCGCGCATATCGCCAGCCTGTCCATCCTCTTGTCCCCCGGGTTACTCATCATTGATCACATTCATTTCCAGTATAACGGCTTTCTCTACGGTCTATTAATCCTGTCGATCGTTCTGGCCCGAAAGCAGTCGACGTTGCTCTACAGCGGCATCACTTTTGCTGCCCTGCTGTGCTTCAAGCACATTTACCTGTATCTTTCGCTCGCCTACTTCGTCTACTTGCTGAGAGCCTATTGTTTGGACCCCAAATCGGTCTTCCGGCCTCAGATTTTCAACACGATCAAGCTGGGAATATGTGTCGTGGGCATCTTCGCTCTGGCATTTGGCCCATTCGCCTCTTGGGGCCAACTTCTCCAACTGAAAGACAGACTCTTTCCGTTTTCGAGAGGGCTATGCCATGCCTACTGGGCACCAAACGTCTGGGCAATGTACTCGTTTGCCGATCGCGCTCTG